AAAGTCTCCAGTTAGTTGATGGTACACTCGCTAGAATTCCAGAAATTGAGCTTTTCACAGTTTATGGCCAGGCGGTTGACAATACTTTGAAGAGAGTTTGTTGGTCTAACAGTGGTGTGGCCCCAAAAGGGGGTTGTAGAAGGGTTTTTAATTTGACTCCGCTTACAATGGAACTATATCTTCAAGATATAGTATACATTTTAAAAGAGTTTTCAGTATTCATTCAAAATACAAGTAAAGACATTTTAGAAATGGAGAATATATCTCAGCATGTACCTGTTTTGATCGCTAAATGCAGCACTAAAGCACACTTTCAAGGGACTTGATAGGACTTATTTGATAGGGAAACTACTTAAACCAAGGAATGCAGATGTTGCCTTACACTTCTTTTATATGCTAGACATCTGTGTGTTAATAAAGACGTTCATTTCTCCGAGAATTCTTAAGAATAGCTTTGGTTCATCAGAAAATCTGTATTCTTAGGATCATGCAGAGCTACTGGCTTGAAAGTTTCCTCATTGAGTCTGAGGTGATCTTTTGTTTACCGGCTAGCGTCCTGCCCCTGCTTCACACGGGCATTTTACAAAAATTTAAAAATTTCATATTTTATAACACACTCACACACATACATACATACACCCTTTTTTTGCTATGACTTTCGTTTGAGTTTGATTCGCTATTGAATCGGAGCTGCTCTGTAAACGTTATTTGATGTTGTTTCATTTTGAGACAGCAAAATAAATTGATTTTCAGGAGCTTCGACCCGTGATAGGTCAACATACAGTAGGCCATGAGTAAAACATTCCCTTCGTAGGTTGATTCCTACTAATAGGAAGGTTTGGCCTCACATATTTGAGGTCCCAGAAAAAAGCTTAAAAAAGTATGCAGTTTTTTCGGAGAAAATTTTTCTGAGTGTACAAACTAAGTACGAAGTTAATTAGTTTCAAATTGTAGATTTTTCATACAAATGTTGGAGCCTGTTTTCCCCCCTTTGTAGCTCGAATTTTCCAGAACATTTTAGTGGGCACCTACACTATGAAACGATACTTGGGTCCAAATTTCAACTTCCTAGGTTTACCATTTGGGCTGTGCGTTGATCACCAATCAGTCAGCCAAGACAAACTGTTTTATTTATATAGATTAGGGCTACTAACTGGTATGTGCCAAGACTTTTTAGTCTTCTGTCTCTGATGTCAGCGATCTCTTTATTCAATTCAATTCATATGTGGGTTGGAAGTTTGATTATTTCTGTTTCACCAACTTAGGGGATCGATCAGTCTTACTCTTTGTAAGAAACTAATATGTGCTAGAAATTTACATATATAGTAGGGAAACTTACTAGTCATAAGAGCATTTTTTAGCTTATATTTCTACAATATAACTGAGCTGCGTAATCCCTTGAATCCCAACTGCTGCCACGTCTATGCAATTCCGCTAAACTCCTGGCATTTCAAAGATGCTAACACCTTGTCACTGGGCATGTGTTGTCCAAGTCTGTGCTGACAACACGACGTCGGCTCTCTCTTTACCTCTATTTGTACATATATACTTGTACATACATACCCGTATATACAGATATATGAAAACGTTTACGATACGACACCTAATTAGGCACAAGAACGCCGCATAATTTACGTTTCGTCAAACGATGGCGCAGTAACTCTTCGCCCTGAGCAGCCTCAGCCCCTCAGAAGAGGAGCCTAGTGTTGTGCGTAGGGAGGTTCCAGAGGTACATACAAGTAGTTCGGGTATGTGTGTATGAAAGTTTTAGTTACGTACATCAGCGCTGTGCAAACATGAATTCGTTCCTATAGAGGTGCCGATGTCGCTGTCGATGTCGGAGCCGAGGCCCAGCAGAGACGTCTTTAGTGGCACAGACACACATACATCAAATAATAAAGCAAATGGTGCCGACAACTAACTGGCCAACCGAACGACAAGCATGACATTTACATTCCCCCAAAACTGAACAACAACAACAAGAACAACAGCTACGAGAACGTTCCGCTTTGGTTTGCGTTTGGCTGCTTGGGTTGGTTCCGGGAAACGCAACAAAATTTCACAAGCACAACGAAAATATTTCTCAAACTTCAAAGAACAAGCAACTTAAAGTTCGGCCACGCCTTTGCCAAAGCTTGGGCAACCACCACCTAGACGATATGGCAACAATGTTGTTGTTGTTGTTTTTGTTGTTGTAGCTGCAGTTGTAAGTATTGCAGATCGTCTGCGAGTATGATTGTGAGTGTGTGTCGAAGTTACTGATGGGCTTATTAGAGTTAGTCAGTCAGTCTGACAGGCCAGCAGGCAGGCAGGCAGGCAGGCAGGAAGGGAGCGACTGTGGCGGAGGCGGCGGCAGAGCGCTTTAGCTTTAGCTTTAGCAGAGTCTTCTGCCACATCGTCAATGAGGCGTGCGGAAACCTCAAAGCAAAGTCGTCGTCGTCGTCGTCGTCTTCGTCTTCGCCGTGGTACCTTTATGACGACAATGCGTTTGCTGTCATAATTATTAGTCAAACACAAACAATGAATTTCATAATTTTCCCATCAATATACTGAGGCAGTGAGGCAAGCGTTTAAACATCCGCCGTCCCAACCCGCACGACGCCTGCACGCGCCGTTCAGCTAGGCACTGAGCTCTCCTTTTAGGTCCCCCCCCCATCAACCCACCAGGTCCAGAGCTGTGTGGGGGAAATGAAGCCGTCGCGCATAAAGTGTGAAATTGCAGGCAATTCGCAGACGCAACTTGAAACTGTAACCAAAGCCAAAGTACAAGTCCAAGCTCATCTTCATGCTCCAAGCTCGGACTAATGGCTTAAACAGCGCGAACAGCGGACTACACGACATGTCTCTCAACGCTTGTTCCATTGAATAGAACAATATCCGCGCAAATATTTGCAGAGAGCAGAGCAGGTCGTGTTTAAATGTTTAAGTGTGTTCGACGCTGACGCTGAAGACGACCGGCTCAATGATCATCCTCATCATCATCATCATCACGATGTTAATGATGACAATTTAAACAAGGCAGAGCAACAGCCATCTACGCATCGCCATCGCCATCACCATCGCCATCGCCATCGGTTGGTCAAGAGCGCAGTTCCATAATTGTTGTTTGATCGTTGTAATTGGTTTTAGAGCGCGCAGGAAATGTGCCAGGCACAAACATACAAACTATATTGTACATAATGTACAGATGGACCTCGTCATGATGCACTTTTCTAAGTTTAAGTTTTTTTGAGAAAATTAATCACAAATCTGTTAAGAATTATTATTATGTTCTTATTAATGTATGTTTTTCAAAAAAGGAAGAAGATTCCATCTATTTATCAGCTTTAAAGCAATTTTTCACAGATGCTACATCACCCTCTAAGAAATGAAATGGCTTTGGGAAAGAAAGATATTCTCTATGAACCATAAGGGTCTTATGAGAATTCTCCCTAGGATAGCTTCCTATAAACTAAGTCTTTCAACAATTGTTTCTATAGGAAATATATAATGCACTTACCCCTCTAATATATATTTTTCTTTTCTATGCTTAATATAAGCATTGAAGCCGGGCATACAGGCTTAGCACCTTAACAATATATTCTATACTACTTTAAGGCAAAGCACAAAACATGTTGAAACGGAAATTAACAATTTTAAAGCACCTTTATACAAAATATTACAAAAGATAATATGTATTCAATGTAAATATTTTAAAATACCGTTCAGCATATATAATAACATTATATTTATATCTAAATGGGAATGTTTTCTATCAACAATAGCTGAGGAATTTGTACTCATTTTATCTATATTTTTAATACATATTTTCTAAGAAAAGTGATCAAGGGAAGAATAGGAAAGATCATTATGAAGCAGCTCGGTAACAGCCCAATAAAATTCTTTTGTTAACTGTAAGTTTTCTTTATAAACACCATGTGCTTTATATATTTTTAATAAGAATACCTTTATAACTAGCTTTAAACAATTCTTTCTTATAAAAAACATCCCTATTAACAACTTTAATTTTTATGAGTTGTTTTTACCATTTATCGATAATATTTCATGGTAACTATCAGTGTATAATATTTAATAATACTCTCCGCTAGTACGTTATAGCAAGGTTGCACTGTGGGTGCATAAATATCCCGGCATTGATCCGTTTAACGATTGACAAACAAACCGACCGACCGGACGGCCGGCCGTCCTACTGACCATGTGTGGCGGTCGCCTTTGAACTGGTCTGTTGGCCGCATCTCTTCTTGTCGATAATAAAAATTGTAAACTTTTCCAGCTGCTCCACCCTTTGTTGGCACATTGGCACAGCCCACAATATTTCGTCATAAATTTGTGCGCCATTTGCGGCATGTTTTGCAGTTTCGAGAATTTCGAGAACCTATTGCCAGCAAGCGAACTACAAGTAGAAAAGTTCCCATAATCCAAATGATGGGGCTTTTTCTTCCTGATAGCGCCCTTTTAGTTGCATTCCATGTTCTGGAGTTGTTCTACATTGTTGGTTTTCAGATAAATAAATGGCATTGTGGGAAAGTTTTCTTTGTTGTCAAAGGCTTGTAAAAAGGTACGAGTACATTAATTGGTTTTGTAGGCACTTCAGCGATAAACATCGGTACAAATATTTGATTTTAGTTTGCGACGAGTGTGTAAATAATGTAACTACAGGGCAGTGTAGCACAGTAATGGATGTACCAACCCATTTACGATATGTTGAGCAAGCTGGGAAAGTGATGATGATAGCGAGAAAGAGTGTTTTTTAAGAGAGTTAAGGAATGTGTTTTTTTTGCCGATTCTTAGGTATTCTTTCTTTTTCCACAAAATGAACAGACAAATATTTTCATTTTATACTTTTTCAAGCTATATTATATCGTTTATTCGATTGTATATCATGATTATATAGATGTTCAAGTCCACAATTTTCTTATCAAATATTAATAAGTCTATACATAAAGTCAAACTTTTAGGCTGAACTTACTCTTGCAGCATAACTCTTATAGGCTGGCAATATCATTAGCTAAAGTATAGAGCTACAACATACTATTCTATACGAGTACGAGTATATACGTATATACCTAAGTCTAATTAGGCTAGATTAAATGCGCTGTAAGCAACTTAAAGGCAACGAGAGTAGACAACACAGATCAGACGAAGTGTGGAGGGATTCAAACGTACTAATTAGCTTGAACAGTATTGAGATTTTTCGAGCAAATGTCACAACACCGGTTGTCATTATTCCATAAAAAGTTGAGTAATCAGTTCTCAGTACATCACATAAGTAATCGCCAAACTCAATCGGTGACGGCCACCAAGTCCCTCGTGCTGCCCGCCCCGCTTGTCGTCGATGTGGATGATGGCAGCACAACCGATAGCGATAGATCGGAATTGCTATTGGTGGTGCCAAACAAATCGCTGAGGCCAGCCACGCCTGGCAAACCGCCCATCCCGCCCGTAGCGGACAGATTGTGGGTGAGACTGTGACGTCGAAGATCGCAGTTGCGACGAAAAACTTTGCCACAGGAGGCGCAGTTGTAGGGCTTGATGTCGGTGTGCGTGAGTAGGTGGGTCTTCAGATTGGAGCGCTGATTGAAGGAGCGATTGCAGACAGGGCACTTGTGTGGTGACTCCTCCATGTGCAGGATTTTGTGCACGGCCAGCGTGCGAGACTGGCAAAATCCTTTGCCACATTCCGCACACTTGAACGGTTTCTCCTTGGAGTGAATGTATCTGAAAAGGTAGCAAAAGGACACACAAAAATGGAAACGATATTAGTTTTTAAGTGCACAGACAATAAAACGATTGTGGTTTAAAGGCAATCTGCAGATTATATAGTATGTTGGTTTAATCGGGTAAGTATTTTAAAAGTGATCAAATTGTTTGCATATGTAGCAAGTGGAGAGATATACATATGTGTTAATTCTCCCATTGGAATGGAATGTGTTACAAGAAATGTAATTGATAGAGGACTTGCAAAATGAAAATGTTTGGCAAAACTGTTCAACTGAAGAATCGCTACTGAACTGTGTTTTAAATGCTCTAAATGCCTAACATCAAAGAAATATTTGAATTAACGTTTTCCATCTGAATTATTTTTACTTGTTTCCATTTCTAATTCCACATACAATACAAGTAATCCAAATCAAATCAGATGTTCATTAAACAAGTATTTGTTTATTATAATTCAAATTCAAATCAAATTCAGATATTTTAATTTTCAGAAAATGCTATTTTGCAGGCCTACCTATGATCTCTAAGGTGGTCCTGTCTGCGAAAGGCCTTGCCGCATATGTCACAGGAATAGGGACGCTCATCTGTGTGGGTGCGCTCGTGTATGAGCAGATTGTAGGACTTGGTGAACTGCCGGTTGCAGAACTTGCAGATGAACTGCTTCTTGGATCTCTGAGCGGCAGCAGCAGCGGCGGCAGCTGCCGCATTGCCAGCACCAGCTGTCGCATTATTTGCTGTTCCCGCGGCACCCACAGCCACATCCAACGCATCGCCAGCCATAACGCTGAGCTTATCCTGATACATGGTGGCCTGCAGCGAATGCACCGATGTATCGGCATGTCCGCCATCCGCTGTGCTGCCAAAGGAGCCTACGCCGCTGGCATTGAAGATGAAGCTGCCATAGCTGCTGTCCAGATCGGCAGCCTCAAAGGATAAGGCATCCTCGCCGTCTAGAAGCGGTAAATCGCATTCGGCCGCCAGCTCAGCGGCTGTTGCGCAATCGAGAGCGGCTGCCTGATTATTCGCTGCAGCAGCAGCTGCGGCCGCAGCGGCAGCGGCAACAGCAGCAGCCGCCGTAACGGTGCTTATGGAAGGCAGCGGTGGTATGCATTTGGAAGTGTTGTTGCTGTTGCTCATTACTGCTGTTGCTGTGCTAGCTGCGCTGTTGCTGGCCTGGGCGGACAGCGAGGAGGAGGAGCACGAAGAGGATGAGGATTTCAGCTCAATGCCGGCAATGTCAATGAGCGAGGCGGGCAGCAAATTGTTGTCAGCATCGGCTGCACAATTGTTGTTGGAGCTGCTGCCATTGCTGCTGTTGTTGTTGTTGTTGTTGCTGCTGCTGCTGCTGTTTGTATGATTGCTGCTTGTATTGTTGCTATTGTTGCTGATGCTGGTGCTGCTGCTGTTGTTGGTGCTGTTGTTGCCGCTGTTGAAGCGAAACACATCCGATTTGCCGGTTAGACGCTGCAGCGTCAAATAGGATTCCAACGCCTGAAGATTAAGCGCTGCTGCTGCTGCCGAGTTGGCCGGCAGCAGGGCTGCCTGCTGCAGGCTGCTGACCATCGTGCCCTGCAGCGAGAGCACCACAGCGGCAGCGGTGGCTAGATCATTAGTGGCGGCAGCAGCGGTGGCAGCGGCTATGGCAGCATTGCCGGTCGCTTTGCTGGCCGCTGCTGTTGACTTGCCAGCCGCTTGCTGCTGCTCTACATTGTCGCACTTAAGCTGCTCTTTCGCCGCCGTTGCACTCTGCTGCACTTTGTTGTTGTTGTTATTGTTAGTATTACTGTTAGTGCTGGTGGCAAGTGGCGTTGTTGCGGACATCTCTCTAAGTGTTGCAACCTTAATTTGTTGCTCTTGCTGGTGTGGCTGCTGTTCGATCGTCTTATTGCCACTTGGCTCTGTCGTTGAAGATGCTTTTCTTGTTGCTATTATTGTTGTTGTAGTTGGGGCTGATTCGCGTTTCTGGTCCATATTGCTATTGCGGCTGCTGTTGCTGCTGCCGATGTTGTTGTTGCCAGCGCTGCCAGCAGTCAAATGCATAGCGTCCTCCATAAAGTGCACAGCAGGATATCTTTTTTGCTTTTGGCCCACGGCCTTTTCTTCTGCTTGTTTCCTTTTTTATTGTTTGGCGCACCTACGCAGCTTCAAGCACAGACTGTGCTTGCTTTTGCATTGGTGTGTTGTATGTGTGTGTGTGTATGTGTGTGTGTGAATGATTGTGTGTGTCTGTGTGTTGCACATGAATATTAAAAACCACACGCCATCATAAATCACAGCTTAGTCACGCTTTCAAAAGTCATAAAAATCGAATTTGACGTGCAAACAAAAACAGCAACAACAACAATACAGCGTCTATATAAACAACACACACACTCTATATAGACACGGACAGGGACCCCGACCACACGAACAAATTGGAGACGCGCGCGCGCACACGCTTCGATTTGATTCGATTCGATTAGAGTAGAGTATTGGCCGCCTGTCTTTTGTTCGCTTTTGGCACATGCGGCGTATACGTAATACTCTCCAAATTTATTTTCACTGCAATCGGTGGTGGGCGTTTAATTAAATGCCAATTGGCAGCTGCTGCCATTAAATGTCACTTGCACAACCGGCAGATGAAGAACTAGCTGCTGCTGCTGCTGCTGATGATGATGATGCAAAAGAAGAAGAAGAAGAAGAAGCACTTGAAGCGTAAGACCAGTCAGAGTGAAATACGCAACTTCCGTTTCCCCACCTGTCTCACACCGTTGTGTTGTCTCTAACGTGTTATTGTTCTTTTACTTCCGCACAACAAATATGTAAAAAACTGAGCCCTATTGCCACGAGAGCAGCCGTCGTGCCGTGTCCGCCGCACAATATTGGTAAAAGATCACGGAATAACTAAAAGTCCATTGCTCTGCGTGAGGCGCGCGGACCTGCGCGCTCACTTGTTTGCCCGCTTGTCAGCCAAACTGGCTTCTCTAGCTCTCTCTTGCTCACACATACATGCTCGCACCCAGGCACTGGTCTCTCTTCGAGCCGACTGCATTCAGAACTCAAAACTCGGGAGAGCGTGCGCGGCACGATCATCGCATCGCCTGTGGGTGAGTAAATGTTTTATTTGTGTCTCTGTCTTTGTGTCTGTGACTGTGTGTGTGTGTGTGCGTTCCCCCAGGTGTGTGATGTTTGCACCTTCGCTAGGCTTGAAACACGTTCCAAATGCCTGTGTGTGTGTGCGTGTGCTTGGAAGATCTCTTGAGTGCACACACACACACACGCACATCGTTATACTCCCTAAACGTGGTCCGCTCTCACACACATCTACAGAGTTTGGAATCCGGTTATTGGCGCTTCTTGTCAATATGGCAAGCGCTTTTTTTTTGAGTGGGTGTTCTTCTTCTACAATTTTCTGCGTTTGGAGCTGTAGTTCGTGTTTCTCTTGCTGTTGTTGTTGTTGTTGTTATTGTGTTTGCGCTTATAATTTGCCATTTCTTGTTTGATTATTTACCTTAATTTTTGTTTCTGCGTGTGCAGTTGTTTTTTATTTTCTTTTTTTTCGTATTTTCTGTAATTTTCGCCATCATTTCTTATGCCCATATTCATAGCTGGCGTCTGTCAGCTCTGCCTTTCCTTGTTGTTATTGTTGTTGCTGTTGTCTTTCACGAACTCACTCGAAAATTCTGACAAATTGTTCTAACCCTGAGCGATGAAGGTAGTGAATACACTTGACGATCGTTTCTATGGCAAATATTTAGAGGTTCTGGAAGAAATTTCCACGGCTATATACATATGTAGTTGGTGTTATAACTTTATGAAGAGACGTTAGAGTTGGCGCTTAGAGACACTGTTTTCAGTTAGAAAAACATAAGCAGCTACGAATATGAGTTTAAGGGTTTTAACAAGCTTGATTATATGTTATCTAATATTTTTCTTGAGAGGTATTATACTCGTATAATAACAATAAAGAAGTTGTTTGGTTAGTGAATAACACTTATGAAATATTAAAATCTTCAGCTTGGAGATAGAAAAAATATGTTCACAGTTTTGAAATCAAAAATTGTAGGAAGTAATGCTATATTATTAGAAATATTTATTGGACAAAAAGCAGAAAAAGAAAAAATTATTTAATATATATAAAAAAAAAGAATATGAAGAAAGAAAAAACTGCTAAAATAAATATATAACTTTTTTATTATTATTTTAAAGTTTGAAAATAAATTAGACAGCATTTTTTAGTTGAAATAAAAGGTAGATTTAATAAAAACATAAAAACAAATATTAGTTTTACATTGTTCTATGCTTATTTGAATTGATTGTTGAAATATTTGTGCAATACTACATCAGAAAATATTGCTGTCAATAATATATTTGCATTTGGTGCAAAACTTGTCTCAATTCCAATTATATACAGATTGTGGTATTGTTTAAAAGAGAGATTTACATTTTCGGACCACCATGAAGTCAAGGTTTTTCCATCAATTCTTGCTTTAGCTGACATAACAGTACTTTAGGATCATATTTTAAGAAACGTTACACATTTTTTTTTTTGGAATTTGGGAATATTTTTATAGAAACGTTTGAATTGAGGATTCGTTTCTGTGAAACAGAATACGAGAGGCTTAATAAGAAATAGAGAATTAATTAGATTGTAGAATCTTAGTAATAAGACTTAATAAATGTCTTCGGTCCGATAAACACAGAACACCAATTGGAAAGGTGATCCAAAAAATCAACAACCACTGCAAAAACGCAAAAGTCTGTCAAACAATCTGCACACAAATTGTTGGAATTAGTCAATTAGTCTTTGGAAGTTTATTCTTCAAAAAGTTTTCTTCCAACTTTATATGTTTGTTTGGAAATTATGTGCATGTCTGATTATAACTTTAGTGAATAAATGTTTGGCGATTTGCGATTTGTTTGGCGATTTGCTGTTAATTTTCGTTCAGTGCATAAACCTGCTTGCACTTGCCCATTAGCCAATGCGTTGATATGCTAGACTCGCGACTTGTAGACAAGCACATACATGGGCATGCCCTCAACGCTCCCTCGACATTTTATTGAAATGATTTTGCTCGCACGCCATACGAAGCACACGCCCCACAGCTGCAGAGGCAGCCGTGATTTTGAAGCCCAGACCCAGGCTCCGAGCACGACTGCTTGGCGTCTGAGTTTTCAACTGTCAATTATTTCTTTATGCATAAAACTTTGCAGTCACAGCTCGAGAAATTTGCCAGCCAGCCAGCCTTTAGCCCTCCTGCCTTCCTTCCTGCCGCCAGCCAGCAGATTTTGCCGCTTGCATTTTAATGCGCTAAACGGCGCAAGTAAATGACCAATAATCATGGGAGCTGCCTGAGCGGCTGCCGGTTGGCCAAAGCGACCAACCAACTAACCGACCAACCAGCCGAGCGAGCACCGAGCGAGCAGTCAGTCGCCGGCGCTGCAATTTATTTTTACATTAAATTGCCATTTGGTACTGTGCCGGTTGGTTTTCTACCATTTATACAGATATTATCGTGATTAATAACGCACAAACATGTCATACGCTCGTTTCGTGTGTGTTTGATTGGAGCGCATTAGGATCGCATAATGATCGCGAAACTGGAACCGAGCCGGGACCATTTAGAGACTTGTCTGCAACTCTGAAACTCTTTGGCCGGTGCTCCTGCAGTCTCAGTCTCACGGTAGCAATTATGTCGCTTAGTGCGCGCATTATATATTTAATTTTTTTCTTTTTCGCCCAAACAGCGGCATATGATGATCGCCAGCCCAACTCTTGGCCGGGGACCTGCCCTGGCGGCGCCTTCAAAAGCTCGCGCATTCCAAGGGAAAAATCTACGGGATGTATTGACACAAGCTTCCTTTAAATGCCTGCGCCTGCCTCGATGTCGTCGTTATACGAGTACTATACTATTTCGATAGTCGTTGCCAACTTTGTGCTGTTTTTGTTGTTGTTGTTGTTTTCTTTCTGTTTTTTCGGGGTCTGCGCTTTTAAACGCGCGTTTCCTGTCTCGAAGTCGCGTCAGGGACACACGGCCCAGCCCGGCTCGGAAGAGCCAGCGAGTCAAGGCAAATGGTACATGATTTCAAATTTCAAGTACCAGTTTACTTAAAGCGCGATCCGAAGTCATCTTTGCCAATATACAGTGGGTTGAGCTTGACGAAAAGTAGATTAGCATATGGTGCAGGTTATATTAGGAAATATGTTGTTTACACTTCATGTACAAGTATTTCAACTATTCTTGAAGTTTAAGAAAATCAATGCAATAATTTCAATTCAACAAAGGAAGACATTTTGAAAAAAAATTAGTTCATTAATTTAAAAATATGTTGATAAAATAAAGCAAATTTTGTCATTTATTTTTGAAAATTCACTTACCGTTTGGAAGTGTGTTTAGCTAGTTGATTGAATTTATCATTACCTTTTAAGTAAATTAGTGCCTTTTAAAGACCGGGTGTATTGTGTGGGAACGATCTTTATTTTTATTTGGCTGATATACTAAGAATTGACTCTAAGATGTTTGGTGACCCTTAGAAAGAGTTTTAAGGGTAATACAATATATAAATTTTAGCTCATTATGTAAGAGGACACCTTAAAGAACATTAATAAGTGAATATTATTTTTTAAATTAAATCTTTATTCTTTATTTAAGATCTGTCCTAAGGAGGACCATTATTAAATTATTTGGTAGCATTGGATTTGTTTAAGCATGCATTCTGTCATGATGGTTCTGACGTCATTAAGCTAGATCGCTGAATACGAAAAAAATAATAAGAAAACCTGACAAATGAGTGATTTTGTAGCCTAGGATTTTATACTATATTTTTCTTTACAAAAATGTCCGTTTGACTTTTATTGAACGGGTCAGAAGCGCCAACAGAAGAAACTAATTTTTTTTTTGTACCACAGAGTAACACTGTTGAGAAAAGATCAGTGATCCGGATAGAAATGCTGGATGAATTGCAAGGATATTTCAGAGCGGATGAAGTGTTGAGTTAAAATTGGGAAACCATGGAAAATGCAATGCAGTTAGGCTATTTCACTGTTTAGGATCTTTATATATGTGAATCGATAATAAGATAAGAAATCAAGTCAGTAACATTGAAGGGACAAAATTGGACAAAATTTGAAGTGGAGACAGTGAAGCAAAATTGTTATTCTTTCTCAAAATATTTGAAATATTCCATTCCCTACAATATAATATAATTGTATACTTATGTATATCTACTTCTATATCATATAGCTTATTTAATCGATGTTGCTTTGAATCGCTTCTCCATTTTATATAGCTATTGATTCCTGTAGTTTGTCTCCCTAGCAAATAGTTTTGTTGCAGTGTGCAACATTTCTGCCAGCGCCTAACAGAACCAGTCGCAATCGTAGTCTCAGTGGTTGCTGTTGTTGTTGCGCAGTGCCTGTATTTCTGTTGCGCCTTGGTCTTGGTGGTTTACGGGAATGCCTCGGAGCCACACCATCTGTCACAGGCGCGCATTCAGATCAGGCAATAAGAATGCTAAACTTGATTCTTCCGCGCGGCTGTGTGTGTGTGCGCGCATGCGTGGGCTGGAATTACATGATCACGATCAGCGATAAAACTTGATGTTGTACATACCCGGCTACATACGAGGCCTAGTGGATATAGTACGAGTATATGACCGAACTGGGGTTCTGCGGCACTGCCGCAGCCACAGCCAGAGTCGCAGAAACAGCCTCAGTTACAGGCAGAAGCACAGGCAAAGGCACAGAGCGCTGAGGTACTCTGCCAAACAAAATGTCGCAAAGTTGTACAAATCATACAGATCGGGCCAGTTTGGTCGCAGCTTTAATGCCGGAACAACGGGACACTTTTGCGCTGTAGCCGACAAACGAAGACCAGACCACGAAGACGACGACTTCGCTGGTAAGAGCAAGTCGTGTCAAATTATTGATTGCTGTCTTTTAATTTGATTTTGATTTTTGTCCATCGGTGTTTTTGGTTTTGGTTGTTTTTCTGCTGCGAGCTTGTCATCTTTGCGGCCGATAATCGCACCACTCAAAATATTAATCTTCTTTGAATTGTGCGGCGGCAGCGAGCAGCAGAAATCAAAGAAAAGTAAAAGTCATAGCACACATCTATGGCAGGGCCTTCAACGATTTAGAAGCGATAAGATCGACCGATCTGCCGGGTTAACGCGCGTGCAACGACGCCGTATTGTTCGGAGTGACTTTTTATTGGTAATTACCAGAAAGGCATGGTCGGGGGTCGGGGGCGGGGGCCTTGTACTCGTATTCCTGCGAAGTGCCAACAACAGCAGCAGCCGGCAAAGCAGCAGTTGTTCATTAGCCGCAGGCGTTGCCCCTGATTGGACCAACTAATCCCGCTGCACACTTTTTGTAACTGCCGTCAAGATTAGACCCATTTTTCTATTGAAACCAAAAAAAAAAAGAGACGGCCAAGTAGTTGAGATCGACTGCGACTTCGAGTTCAAATTCCAGTTCTCTTGGCACGCACAGCCGTGACAATTAGTTGTGGCTGTGACGTAGATGGCTTATCGTGTTTAATTCTCGATGTGGAATTGACATATTTACTTGCCTGAATCTATATTTTGTATTGTAATACGATCCATGAAAAGGCCGGCTGCCTTTTTCTTCTTGTTGAAGGTTACATTTCTTGTGACAAACAATGCCACAAATTCATAATTACAATGGATTAGTAAATATTAAAAATTGTGTTTGAAGTTTGCCGTAGAGCGGGGGTTACTTTACGAGTAGTGTTGCCATAAAAAACATGTTAAATAAAAAGTGGAAGTTGTGTGTAGTCCATTGTGTTCCTCTTTTCAAGTTCAAGCAATAAAACATCACACACAAAAGAGAAATATTGTGTGGAAGAGGGGAATTGAATATACGAGTATATATGAAAATAGATCAAGGAATAACAGTTCTTTGTTTTAGTCATTGTAGTGTCTTATAATATTTAATGTCAACAATGTGCAATTTTGAAGTTAATGGAGAGAGGTAATAGTTAAGGGGAGTTTTGAAAACATACAGCTTTGCAGTTTAATTAAGAAGCTTTAGCTTGTAATAAAATGCATTCCATTAGTTACTTGAGAGCTCTGATGCTAATAAATAATTTGAGTTTATAGATAGGGCTTATACTATATGTATATAGTATATGCGATCATCTGCTTTATAACCTTTTATTTGTAGGCCTTTTTTCCATATAAGGGGAGAGATCTATGTGCACCTTTTGGAGTCCCAGACGACACATGATGAGTATAGATATTATTGACCCCCCCCCCCCCCCACAGCTCCTCAAAATTTTAATTGTAGTTCCTGTTTCCACGTGTTAAGATTTGGTGGCTCATCATCATTCAACACATTCACCTCATTGTTTGGAAAGGAATGAAATACACACGCAGCCATTATCCGAATATAGGAGTACAGTGAAAACTCCCTTAATGGACACCTATTTCATCCAGACTCTCTCTTTGGCGGACACTTTTTCTAAAACATTCGATCCCTTGAGCGGACAAAAATTGGCCAACCGTGAGTGTCTGGCCAAGAGAGTTTTCACTGTACTACATATGCCCAACAATTTCAAAAATGGCGACTAATTGATTTTCTTGTAGGCTGTGGCCCATTTCCCATGAACCAATGCACGCTCATGTACAATAACACCTTCGCGTACCTTCGCTTTTCCATTCGCTCGTCTGCCACAATGGCAAGCGCCATTTTAAACGAAAGCCAAACAGATTGAACACCGCATGTAAGTAAACAAAATTTAACGCCAATTTCTGTTGCCAATTTGAAACCGTTTTGGACCGTCCAAAGTGATTATGCATCACACCAAGCTGAAACCCTTGCCCTAACATTCCACGAATGATTTGGATGCCTTCAATAAAATCCTACTGCACGGCGAGCCAAAACAAAAACAACTAAAAGGACGTCGGGACGAGACAGACGAGAGACAATCAAATCGAAACCATCTGGTCAAAAACGTCGTGGGAATCAGTTCAATATAATTTGCATGCGCAAATAAGTTCAGTTTGGATCGGTTCGGTTCGGTTCGGTTTGGAGTCGACTCTGTTTGGCAATTAATTGCAACAAACAGAGTAAAAATTGTAATGCAACAAATGGCAAATTGTTGCAATTTTCTCGCGGCAGGTCGGCAGAGCGGCAGGCAGGCAGGCAGACAGGAAGAAGTAGTAGAAGAACTGCCAACTGCCGAATTATTGACTGGCCGCCAGAGTGAGTGAATGACTGACTGACTGACTGACTTGCTGGCTGACTCGCTCGCTGGCTAACTGAGTGACGGCAAAATATTTCGATGTGCATCGCTGCCCCTTTGGAATGAGGAATGAGGAGTGCGCGGTGTGGACCTTCGTCTCCATCTCCATCTCCGCCCCTGTCGAACTCGAACCGTTCGCGGTCACTCTCTTGCCAAATGTTCGAGTCGTTGTCTAAAGGCCTAAATGGCCAAATTGATGCGCGCGATTTAACGTTTCTCTGATTGAGCTAATGACAGGCGACTACGTGAGAAAGAAATGTATTTCAATTTCGCATTCGCATCGCATTGATATTGAGATTGCGTCGCTCGAATTGTGCCGCGTCACATTGGAATCGGGGTTGGGGTTTGTAGGCCAAAGGGTCGTCATGGGTGATCCATGGAGCCAAGACATAGATGGGTGAGCACGAGTACGAGTGTCTAGATAAAGGAATTACGGTGGAATGGCAACTTTTTGAAGGGGGAACTGCAGGTCTAGAGTCTATTAGTTCTAGTTCAGGAGCTCTGCATTTCTTTCATTATGTCTGAACGAAAGTGAAATCTGTCTTTAGAGGAAGCTTCAATTTGATGTATTTAGGTAAATTCATTTGAAATAATTGGCAAACATTTAAACCAGCATTCGAGTTTGAAACCACATTAACTGAAACGTTCTATAATGCTATTGGAAAATTGAAAACGGACTCAAATTGTATCTGTATGGTCCTTGTTTCTAGTACATTTGTGGATTTCGTTCAGTTTAAATATAAATGAAGAGCTGTTATATATTTTTATCTGAAATTGTAGGAGGCTCTAAATCGGTTGATATATGTTGGGCTGAAAAGTTATGGAAACTGAATTTTGGACTGAAATGATAAAGAAACTTAATCTTGGAATCCTAATTTTGTGGAGAAACAAAGTTATTGAAGGGGAAAATGGAAGAAAGAATGGGTCTTAGTGTAAGCATTTCGATATGCCTAGGGGTAAAAGAATATATTATCTGAATTTGAGGTAGAAGGAACTTTTTTATACTCCAATAATCATCATAAATTACCTCCACACATACTCGAATCTCCTTAGAATTAGTTGCTTAAATTAGAATGAAATCTGTAATGCATAGTTAAGAGTCCAGCTACAATCCAAAAAAGTTTTATGAAACATTTTTTGAATATTCACCAATTTATCTGAAAAGGCGACGGAATACCGATGCTGGTGACCCTCATAACAAAAACTGAAATAAAAGCTAAAAATGTAAAGGATTGTTGTTTTGTGTTTGTTATTTTTAGCAGACCGGATGTAGAAGACTTCCAGACTTGCCAAAAAGCTGTGTAGTGCCCGGCATTTTATACGGGACTACCAGGCACCCCCATGGTGTCTTAGTATTATTCTATTGACAACTCATTTCCGCTGGCAGTGCCAAAAACCACTCACTTTCAATTTCTCACAGTTGCAGTGGCCGGTAAGTCCCGTGAGTTGAAAAATAATACACAAATTAATATAAACCGCTGTCTGGGGCCGCAACGCGCCTTTAATCATTTCAAATCCCACGTAGCCGAAGTAGAGCATCAGGTCTGGCCGGAGCTGTAAAGCGTGGCAAATACACGCTTAATTGGCTGTGGCTGGCGCGGCTGGCCAGGTCGGCGAGATTGTGGGCCTGGGACCTGGAACCTGGGAACGGCGACCTGGGACCTGGGCCTACTCCTCCATCGCAATAAAATGCAAATTAAACGCGCGCTTGCATGGACAGAAACAAGGCAGCGCATTTATTTACTTAGAACCTCCTGCTGTGCTTCCGAATTAAGTTTAAGCCCGGAGGCTAAAATGCAAAATGAGTTTTACTAATTTCTTAACTTGGTTGGGCCAACGCAGCCGGCCAACTTCTTCTTGACCATGTCTGCCAGACTTGTCTGTGCAAAAAGATGCTGGTCTCTCTCTCTCCTCTCTCTTTTTGGCGCTTTGATGGACGTGCGCAGCCGCCAGCTGTGGAACGAGGTGCGCATCTGCGTAGCAGTAACTGAATTTTAATTCCTGCATAAATCGATATTAAATGAGATTTCCTCTTCTTCGTGCCCCATTCGTGGACGCGGCTATAATCAGAAAAGTGGCGGCTCGCATGCAAATCCAAGTCGCTCTTTTCGGTAGCGTACCAAAAGTTCCCGGTCACTCCCACCTGACTGCCGAAAAAAGCGCAAAACCGCCCCAAGGACTCGGCAAGAAGGTCCATGGTCTGGCATGCGTTGAAAGTGGGGCGTGCGCCTGCCTCGTATGCAAAGTGGCTGGCTTGCTGGCTGGGCAGTGCTGTTGCGCATGCGTCGGCATTAGGCTCTATGTTAGCGATGATCGCGTGATTAATTTTGGATTGTCGTGTAAGCTCAATTTCTTTTAAGTTGCATTTAGTGTTATTCTCTAAGAAGCGCTAAAACGGACTGCACCTTATCAGATATACTTAGGATTATATTTTAAATATTTTAAAAGCATATCCATACTACAAAATTATCTAAGAATTTAAAGTACGTTTGAGAAAATAAGTTCCTTAGGTATATTATAATTATTACTACATTTTATGCTAATTACCTAACACAATTCTACACATTGTTGTTTTCACAGAAACCAATTTAGTCTCAATATAACAAGAGCTTTGCTTTTTCAGTCGCAGAAGGTTGCTTGGATTTTATTTAAATGCCTTGCGCTTTATTGTTACTAGAGTAAGATATTAAAAAAAGATAAACCTTTTCTCAATGTGACGGTAGTGAAATTAATTATCGAATACTAATTTGAAATGATAAATGGTAAAAATGTAAATGTATTTAAGAGAAAGTTTATATATAAAAGGAATGCAAATTTAAATCTATGTAGACAGTGCTTTGAAAAATTCAACCCCAAGGTAAGGGAAAAACGTTGATCAAAGATTTTTAGGTATAGAAATTTTTATAGGCTTTTTTATTTCTGTAGTTTTATTTAGTTTAAGTTCTCTATTGTATTTATTTTATATATACAAGTATATATTGTTTTTTTCTTTTACATCGACTACATTGTTTGTCGATGAAGTTAATAAATAAATTTCATTCATTGTCAACTTAAGGACTTAAAAGCTTATAGAATTTAGGAGTCATTTAAAAACTAAGAACAGGAAATTCTGCCTAACTGTACGAATTAATAGTCAACTCTCAACTCTAGAGTAACCTGTTTAAAATTCGGGAACTATTGAAAAAATGTGCCTTGCTTTAAACAATTTTTAAATATTTTTAGCACTTTTTAACACTTTTTAATAAACTTAAAAAAGCTGTGAAGATAAAATTGAACAAAGTACGATTTTGACGATTTTCAGACAGTTCGTGAGCTGACGATGTTTGCACATATTAAGGGACTCACGCAGGTGATCTCAGTATCATGCCCATCATCACTTCAGGCAACCCTTCACACGCACACTCAAGTACACACACACACACACTTACACACACACTCACACACACACATGCAAACGAAGACGCACGCTCGCTTAAAGCTAAAATGAGTTATGACTTGGCGTTGGACGAGCGAGCGCGCGCCTGTCGCTCGACTGGGCTGAAACAGATGAAGACGAAGAAGAAGCAGCAGCAGCAGATGATGGAAAAAAAAACTCGACTCGTTTGCATATTTTAGGCCACCGTTTAATTAAAGGTTCACATTTTCACATTTGAAACAGGGCACGAGCACGAGGGTCTTCAAAAACTGACTCGCCCATAACCACTTCATGTTACGTTTGCAGTCGAGTGCGTGGCGGCTTTTTGTGGCCTGGCCTTAAGCCTCTGGCTCTGGCTCTGGCTCTGAATATGAATCTGACGCAGCTTCAGTTATAGCCACATCTCCGGCACTGGACCGCCACAAGTATCTGCCAAGTTGAAGTTGTCAGCTGAAGTAGGCAGCGCGGTCAGGCAGCGTGTTATTTTAACGAATAATTTCATGTTATATTTTTGAAATCAATAACCATAACTTGCCTCTAAATAACTCTATTGTGTGCGCCACAGTTTTTCTCGGAAATGGAACGCTCTTTCCCCCCCTCAACTCTCCTCTTTCTTTCCCATTTTCAATAATAAAATCGATGATAACCCAGAGACGCGCGCTGGCAATTAAACAAACTTCGACTCTTTTCCAAGCTGCTGGCTGGCTGACTGGGTGGCTAGCCATGTCAGCAGTTATAAAAGAATAATCCAAACCCGAAGAGAGAGAAAAAAGAGACTGGCTTAGAAAGCGCAGCGGTAACTAACATGGCTATTAGTGGTGCTGCCTGGTGTGCATTTTATTGTTTCGTAACCCCCGCCATAATTTATAGGACAGCAGAAACAGAAACAGCAGCAGAAGCAGAGGCGGCAGCAGCAGCAGCAACACCTTCCCCGACTTGAGTGGATCTTACGAACCTGTTTATCGGACACATTAGATCGGCAACACGAATGCAACTATTCTTTGCTTTTTTTTTTCAGCTGCAACAGCT